AGCACCAACACAGGCCCCAATGTGCACACTGCCAAAGCGGAACCAGCACCCAAGCTCCAAAGCGCACACGGCGATAGACCTTGGAACGGCACCCTGCAGCGGCACCAGCAAGCAGCCCACGTTGTCACGCACATCTGGCAGCTGGAGCCACAATCCAGGCCGCAAAGCGCACACGGGCCATACATACACATGCGTGCAGGGGGCTGGGAACCCTCGTCAGAAAGGATACTTTGTTCAATGGAAATGTATGGAAGGGGGCGGGGGGGCATCATATATCATCGTGTTATTGGCCAAACTTCTAACACGGAAGCTGGTCTGAGCATGGTAGCATTTAGTTTAAGGTCTATCTAGCCTTTTGTTGTGGGCATACTTTCAAGGACAATGTAATTTTTCCTGAGCTTCGTGCTTAAGCACGTGCCCAGCCGCTTGAAACACATCTCGTTTGGCCCCGCGGGCAAGCGGTCGGATATAAATCAGGTGGCTCTACCCAGAATCCCACTGCAATGTCCAAAGTGTCTGTCAGGTGGCACAGCTCGCGCGCATATCCTTTGGGATATCTGGGTTTCACAGTGTCGGACCGTAAGCCAAGAACGACATCGCGAACACTGGGAGTCGCCATGACAATACAGCTGCGGCTATCTGTTATGACACACCTGTTTGCACCCTATGACTCTACTGTAACTTCTTTCCTTCTCTAGCTGCGCACAAACACATCTCCCAACCGATGACCACTAGACCACTATTTCTACTACAACTTTTCTCTTTCTCTATTAACTTTCTTTCTGAACAACCGGTTCCCTGCCTCCGGCTTTCCAAAAGCAAGTGCATCTACTATTGAACAGGTACGCAAAGCGTGCGAACTGTTTTCATACAGCAACAAACAGGATCACACATAATTCCACTTCGCCATTGTTGGGGATAGGGATATCTACTATTAAAATTATCTACTTATTCTACTTCTATTTCCACACATGCATCTTATGAACTCATTCGCGCATGCTTTCGGTCTTTTCGAGCGTTCTACCGTACAACAGGCATGCGACGGATTGGCTTTGGCTCGATTCGACCTGCCAAAACTTTGGCTCAAGCACCTGCTGGGTGTGAAATAGCAACCTTGCTGAGAACGACCATAAGACCTTTCAACAGTCACGGTACGGGTTCACTATATCGAAAGAACATGAAAGAACCTATCCGTTCAACTTAGGGCTACCAGTAGCTGGCATTCTGGGTGGGATTAAAGTGAATGGAATTGGACAAACTTCAGAGTTCTGATCGGCACAAAAAAAACAGGAATATGACCAATATGACATGCGTATGGAACATATTGTAACCAAAAAAACAGAAGCCATGTAGCCATCTCATTCTCCTCTTCTCACCCACATCCTCCGTTTCGCAGTATGTAACATCACCGTTTCCCAGTCTCTCCGCCAAAAAAATATCCGAAGATGTGGGTTCAAGGTTTAGAGTATTATAGATGTTTATAATGATTTTTAGATATTCAAGTATATTATAGAATATTATAGATGTCTTTCAAAAAAAAATGATTCAAGAAGCTCGCAAACAGTACCACTGCATACCCCCCATTTCGCGTTTGACAAGGGACCCCGCATACCCCCATGTCACGCTCTGTCCTCGAGGTGGTTCGGCAACTTCTCGGCCAAGTGCTTCTCCACGACACCGAAGAGCTGCGAGGCCTTGCTCTTCACCTGGAGAGGAGGTCGAGCCGAGATGTGTCACGAGGATGTATGTGGGGATGTATGGGGATGTCCGAAGTGGATGGGAGCGCGACATTATTTGACATTTGGATTTGGGTGGAAGGTCCTGAACTTTGGGATTTGGGGGGGTTGAAGTGTTTCGCGCTCCAAAAATTATCCGATGAGGCACACTTGCAAATGGCGTGAAGCCCCACAACTTGGGACGGTGATGGTGCCCTTTTTTTCGGTGCATCTTCAAATCCGGTTGGGCGACTCTTTGTCGATTTACTCTTCCTATAGGCCACAGGACCTGAGGGTGGATCATGTAGAGATGCTTCTGATAGCTTCAAGCCGGAAATCAGCCACTCGCAATGCGCGATGGTGAAATCATATATAAACAACATGTTGGACCAGTGACTGTAAAATTCTAGTAATTTCTAGTATAGTGTCTGAAATGTTTTCTGTGCTATCTACAATACTGGTGTGGCAAACAGGTCTGGAAAACAACATGATACAATCTTCTACATTGATACAATCTTCTACAGCTACAATTAGTGTCACTACACTGAAACAAGCATCAATCTTTCACCCCATCTGATGCCAACCAATATCTACAGAACCTCTTGTGTCCAGGACCATAGCTGCACTATGCCAATACTATGATACATCTAAATGACAATCTATGCAAATGTTGTTTGACATGACGCGAGCGTGGATTGGTCAAATAGAGCTGCATCGAGAAGACTCAAACCCATGCAACATTGGACTGGCCCTGGTTTGGTATAGCATATCTAAACGAATCTCCATAAAGTTCTGTTGCAAGCGGTTTAATAAGAGTTTTTGATGAGAGACCCCATGTCTATCCATGACTAAGCCATCCAGGATTTCAACACTACTGGGTACCCTATGGATCTGCATTCCTCTTGAGCAGGTATTTGGGAGAGGTTTCGATAGCAGAATTGGATCAGTGCCCATCCGCTCGACCGGGCCTTGCGATCGGTGGCCAGGCGCATCAAGAAACGTCGGCTGCGCTCGTGCATGGCATCCAACTGCGGTGTAATTGCTGTCTCCTGTGACGTGGAAAGGAGGTTGACGGGAAAGGGCACAGTTGAAGAAGTGGGGCTGGCAACTTGCAACAGATCGGAATAGAGGGCACAAGATGGCACGAGTGAGAAGTTGGGTGGGGAAGCACAAAGATCAACATCCAGCTGACCAAAAGCAACCAAAAGCAAGTATGGAGGCTCCTCGGCTGCCCCAAAAAAATCATGAAACATCTACGTTTAAGGCAATATGACATAGAAACTGGTGGTTTCGTTGATTCCACCCTCGACTCCACTGCTGCTTCTGAAGGCGCTTCGTTGTTGATCGTTGCCCCCAAAAAACGAACCAAAGCTTAATTCGAGAAACCACGACAGGATGTGCCGTGCCTGGAGTTGAGAGAGCTGCTCTTGCAAGCGCTTTTGCCCTTGCAGCAGCACGTGGCCCGCCTGGCATTCTGGTGAGAACCCGCAGCGGCGGAGGAGGAGAATCGGACACGGCTGTGCTGGATCCAAAAGAAGCCGTGCTGGAGGGGTGAATCCAACGAAGGCAACGAAGCCGTACATCGGCGCGAGTGTGGAGAGGGCGCCATGCTTATTGTTTTAGCTCGGCGGCATTTTCTGGCAGCTCAGTTCATCTTTTTCTGAAGCTTGGCCTGTGGGATCATTCACAGATCCGAGCTGAGCTCAACTGGATAAATCTCTTCTTCAGCTTTCAGCAATCCGATGGATCCGATGTCTTCAACAGCGTCAGACCGGCTTCTGAGAGTTGATTCGTACAATATCTTACATGCACATATATGTCTCCCATTCTTCTTACACCTTCATGTCATTTTTGTTCCAAACAGCGGTTCCCAAGCCAAACTCACCTCGCTCCGATGGCGCAGGGCGCGCATTTGTCTCGCATGTCTCGGCCCAGAACCGCTAGTCGAAGTTGATTCTGCCAGCCACGCCACCACGCCATCAGCTTCCCTCTTTTAGGCCGAGAACTCAGGTCGCCGGTCATTATACTGTAGCTTCACCTCAATCATCCCGCATCGCTACTGTAGAGATGGTGCTGGCATTTAATTTGTCTCCGCCACTTTGCTTTACGCCCATATTCAACGGGTTGTGTCTCTGAGCAGCATTTGCCACAAGCAGATCCAGAATGGATAAGGGCCGCCTCAACTTCATCCTCAACTTGGGGGCGCAGGAGCTGGAAGGCATGCAACAAGGAAGAGGGTGAGACGAGATGAACCAAAATGAAGACAGGTATATGCTGAGATCGCAGGTGGTATGATAGTATGCGATGTAGACTCTTGATTAATAACCCCGCCATTGCCGGGGGATACTCTTTCATGCTTTATTGGTGTCAAACAACTTGAAGCCTTGAGCTTTGTCAAGCCACAGGAATGGGTGAGTTGGGACACTTCGTGCTCATATATATATAGTTATATATATATATATACCATGCCCCTCGCTCTTGGGCCAAGGACCCTAGCCTGCCTGCAGAATACGGTTCGACTATAAGTGTACCCTAGAAGTCCAAAGACTATGTTTGACTCCACCAAAGTAAAGGGAAATTCCTCCACCTAAAGAGCCATGTCCTTTTCTCCATGATATACAGTACAGTGATGGACTTTTTAGGGTGGATGTATACAGTACAGTGCAGTATAGTTCATTGCCTCCAATTCTCGGTGCACCGAGGCGCGGGGGTGTCACCGAGGCGCGGAGCGTGAGCTGTGTGAGCGTGAGCGGACGAAGATGCCCTTGTTACGAGTGGGAACCGGAACAGTCCCAGTGGGTGCCGGTTGAAGGTTACAAAGAAGTAGCTTACCTTGTTACTAGTGGAAATGCACCTGTTCCTAGTAGCGTCCGATCGCCTGTGGGTCAGAATGGACGAGGTAGGACGAGGAGGTCAACTGGGGATACGGGTGCAATGACCTACAGCCTCCTCAGATTTTATGTTCTTCGCCTTCGCATTTGAAATTCCAAGGAAAATCGTCTTCATCCGACTCGTTTCAAAGGGTCCATGATTGGCTGGAGAGTATTGACACATGTCTCGTTGGACACATGTTTGACATTCAACATGATTTCTATCTGATGTCCAATAGTCACACATCGCCAAAGACATCATCTGAGCAAGCTTTTTCTGCTATCTCCATTCATCAACCAACCAATTCTTGGTAAAAAGACCATAAAAGACCCACCAACCAACGAACCACCGTCTTGTTCAGCCCGCCCCGCGTTCAGCCCTCGTCTTCTCCGTTTGACACCACCGACGGCGGACCTTGGACTCAGCGAGTTCCTGCTGGATCCACTGGAGCTGCTCGCGGCCAACTGAGACCGGGCAACCGGCGCGGCGAACGGGACCTTGGACATGCCTTGTAGCTCTCAAAGGTCGTGCTTGGAAGATCTGCAGGAAATGTCTTAAAACCGAATCCCGAAATGTACAGAATCTTGGTTGGTCAAGTCTGGTTTCGCGCGAAAACGAGACCCGGATCAGTGAACCTCAAGTGAAGAATGAACTGATGAGAAAACATGAGAACCTCAGCATAACAAGAATCATTGTTGGATATAGCATCCTTGCCAACCCGAGCTGTTGGATTTACGGATGATTGTCATCTAAGCGTTCAATTTGGATCAATTTGGTGTAAAAATTGTAAAACAAGTATAGACACCACGAACTAAACACATAGTATACCTGATTTTGATATAGTTTGAAGGCGACTCGTGTTGATTTTTGGCCTCGATCCGTTGCTTTGCGCTGCGCCTAGCCGCAACATGAACCAGCTGGGTGTCCCAGGCATCGTTGCATCTCCTCCTCCAGGTTCGAAGCTAAAGCCTTCACCTCGCACTCGACCGGTACACATGACCGGTCGACCGGTCAGGGTGTTGGTCGACCCAGTGTCGACCACCAGCCGTTCTGTGGGTGTTCACATGTTTTCACCAGCGAATAGTTGATTTAAAACAACATGTCAGTGGTATGGATCTTAGTGGATGTTATATAGCAAGATGGTTGGTAAAGGCCTCTCTCAAACATATATAGTGATATTCTTTTTCAGACTGTTACTGGTAATGGAACACACTCTAGATGTCCCTCTAGGTTTGGTGCCTGTCCTACCTGCTACCACTGGGAGGCTGCACCAAATTGGACCCTTGGAGCCATGGCGGCCATTCTACGAAGCAACAAACAAAGATAATCACACCCACATTTCAAAGAACAAACCATCACATTAAGTGTTGTCTATAAATCATTGGTAACAAATGCAAGAGAAAGTCCGCTTGTTTCAAACTCTTCTTGGGATCTTCATATCTTGGGAGAGCACAGCCGCCAGCCCAGTCCACATGTGGGACTGCTGCGTACTCGTGGGGACTGCTGCGGCCGAAACACATCCTCATCGGCTGAGGCTGTCTGGGCAATCTTGCTCCTCAGCATTGGTGCGGACAGGCTGTGGGCCCGAAAAAACATCACCCCACACATCAATTGGTCAAATGTTCAGCAAATGTACCTTGCTTTTTCTTTTTGACACATTAATCATCATTAATCATATCATGTTAATTGGTTGATATTGTTTGATATTGATTAGGTTACGTTTCAAAAAGAAAACATATCATATCATGTGTTTCGTCTGTTAATTTTGTTCTGGTCTTGGTGGCAAAACACCTGGATCTGGTCACCACCCACGTCGATCGCCGATCCTTCCAGCTGGTCCGACGAGTTGGTCACCCGGAGTGGACGGGCCCCGGAGCCCGGTGGACCGGTAGACCTTGGTTGACTTGTTTCTACTAGCTTCTTGTTACTACTAGTAAGGCACCTGTTACTACTAGTAAGGCACTTGT